CTTTGAATGCTAAAATAACCAATCATTGCTGTTCCCTTTTCCCCTCACCTGCTTTTCCAACGATTGTAACCATGCCTGTTGTTTCCATTTTCTCTTTTATTATTTCGTAAAGTTGAGTTTCGACAAAATAGTTTTTAAATGCACTGTATTCTTGAAGGATTTCCTGTGTTTTTGCTGAATATGAAATAATACAAAAAATTACTTTCCTTTGTCAATTTGTTTGAATTTAAAACTTAAGTGATTTAGTAAGTTTGTATATTTATTAATTATTTTTAAATGTCTACAATTTTGTGAATACACTCCAACTATATACTCAAATCAAAATGTGACAAATTATTATTCATTGACGAACAAATTTGCAGGGGTCCTTTAACACGCATTCTCAATTTATAGTCTCAATTCGCTTTAAATAATGTACCGCGTTTTAAGTAATATAATATTTCAAATAAATTTTATTTTCTGCCACTCATATGATTGTTGGTTGTTGATTAAAATGTAACAATTGTTTGTTGTAGTTTGAACGATTGTCTTAGGAGAAAATCACATTTTATAGCAGAAATCGATATTTACGTTACTGTCGCCGATCATCGTGTAGTTTTTATTTTCAACCAAAAAGTTTTAAATCATTTACATATCTTTTTCTTAGTAAGATTGTCCTACATTTGAGTTATATTTTCTGAATATCACACCCTTCACACATATGCGTGTCACAATTTTTTAAAAAGTTTTAATATATTTATCAAATTTTGATGTCACCGCAGAATTATTACTTTTCTATTTGGAAATTCAAAAGGACTGGAAGGATTTATAAACTGACTCAATAGGACTAAGTTGTAACTTTTTAACATCATGAACATCCTTTCTATTGCATGGAATGGTAAAAAGTACAATCTTTATCTGTATTTATGAACAATAACCCCCCTTTTCTTATAAGTCCAATGGTTAAAAAATTCAACGATATTTACATGTTAGTATTTCTTCACAAATTAATTATGAGAACTACACTGTTCCCTATGGGTCAAATTGCCTTATACTCAAGCACTAGAATATATACCTTTAATTAACAGTGGAATAATTAAACAACAGCATTAAAAGTTACGATAAATCTCAGAAAAATATTTACGTTACCGATATTTACGTTACCATGTTTTAAAATAAAATAAGTGTTAATTTCCAAAGCTGTTTGAACAGATTTGCGAGTGAATCTTTATGATGTAAATACAAACATGAAGAAATATAAACTGTTTCTTAAAATGTCATTTTTTCTGTAACAAGAGTGCAGAAATGCAAATTGAAGGGCACATGCAAGGGTGAACATTTTTAACTCAATATCTTGTGCATCCGTGTGATTTGAAAATTGAATTGACATAATATTATTCACAAGTAGAATTGTGGTTTAATGATTGAATGTTTCCATTTTGAGCAATTGGTTAATATTTCATATTTTCAAGTGTAATTCACGTTATCAATCGGAACGTAAATCTGAAACAAAACTTTCTTCAAGTCTGTATTTTGCTGTTTGTTTGAAATGATAGTGTATCGCCAACTTAAAAAAATGAATTTTATACCAAGCTTAACATTTTGAAGAAAAATAATCATTTTTGTAGGAAATATAATCCCAGAAAATAGGCGCTGCGTTGCATGCAGTGGGAGGGGGCTGGGGGTGGGTGGTGTTCTACATCGGGTAAAAAAAGAGGGTGTTGGGTGTCAAGAAATTGGTTGAAATCGAATCCATTTCCATTTTTGTTGCTTTGCAAGTAATACAAATATTAACGTATAAAATTGTGCACCTAATTTTCCCATTGGAATTGTTTCTTAGACTTATAACGTATGCGTCTATGCTTTAATGGTACTCAAAATTCAATTTACGTTATATGAACATAGAATGTATATTGCTCTATAGAGCACATGTGATATGCAACATAATTATTGACAAACCTTTTAAGGGTGGTGGGCGATCTTTGTTTAATTTTTGAGATTTGACGATAAACTTTTCATAAACAATTAAACATTTCAGACATGTAGCAACAGGGGGGGGGGGGGGGGAGAGCAGCCCCCCTGCCCCCCACTTTTTTCTCCAACCTTACTTCAACTATAGTAAATGTTCAGTGAAAGTCAAATTGCCCCCCCCCCCCCCCCCACTAATAGTGATGTACGGAAAATATAGTGTAATAATTGGTTCTGAAAGTAATTGGCATTGAAAAAAGTTCGCTTCCCCTCCCCCTCTAGGATTTTCGACTTTGTGCAAGTTTTCTCACCCCCCCTTTTTTTTTGCCTTGTCAACTTTTCAGGTAAGTAAAAAAAAGTCTCTGGCTGTCCCACTTTAAAAAACGATGCTACGTGAGCCCTGCCTTTGAAATTATCAACAGATTAAATGGTGGAAGGGAGGAGGGGTATGAATTACATGAGTCCTCTATAGATAAATCATAACTTGAATTTTCAATTCAACCCTTTGTAAAGAGCGTATATATAGATAAGAAAATTCATAAAATTCAATAATTTGAAATAATATGAATCATTTTTTCCCGAATATACTTTTATTTTTGTATGATATATATGTGCGATATTTATGTGATATTTAACAAACACTTCGTAATCAGGAATGGCGAAATATTTAACCTTCTTATATTCTAAATAATGTGCGTTTCTCTGAGCAGATTAATAAAGAATCAATTAATGTAGCATTTTCGGGAATATTGTCATTATAAGCTTATCATCGGATGTGATAAAACTTGTTAAAATAAAAAGAAAGTAATTTCATTTAAATGAAAATTATATCCGTTTTATTTTTACTAATAATTGAATCAAATATTCTACACCCCTTTTACAAATGTGCTTAAACGGTTTCATAAATGTTTATAGTTAACAAAATTTGATGTGTATTATATTATTGATTTAGTATTAAAAAAATTCTTTCGTTTCCAAATATGGCTTTTCAACATCACGTAAATATCTTGGTGTAAAATTAGCCCTCCAACCGCTTTTATTTCGAAGGAGGCCCACAAAACACAGAATGAAGTATGTAAATCAGATTGCGATTTTTAATAACTATACACTTTCATGTTTCAAATGACGTATAAGAGTGTTAATTTCAGTTCACTAAATGTTTTGACTTTTCCCAAGATCGAATTGGTACTATAAATTGAGAATGCGTGTTAAGTGCTTAGCTTTAACCATGAAAAGTTTTGTGTCGATCATTATGTATTTTGTTTAAACTACTTGTCATCCTTTTTTTATTTGTAATTTTTAAAATAAAGAAGAAAAGAAAAGAAAGAAAGCATTTTTTGGAAGATTGAGTCCATACAAGTAATTTAAAAAGATGTATAATGACCGGTGCTGTATATTTTCTATTTTGTTATATTTTGAAACATTAGTCTACGGAATTAAGCCCAATAGTGCAAACCATAAATAAATAAAGAAAAACGATGAATAAAGAAAAACGAAATTATTAAATAAAGAAAAACGAAATTATTAAATAAAGAAAAACGAAATTATTTAATGAAGAAAAACGAAATTATTAAATAAAGAAAAACATATTTAATACTAGTATATAAAGAAAAACGAAATTAATATATAACGAAAAACAAAATTAATATAAAAATTAAAGAAAAACGAAATTATTAAATAAAGAAAAATGAAATTATTAAAAGTAGAAAACTGAAACTTAAATATGGAATTTATAGATGTGCATGGTAAGTGCCTGAACTGATCAATCATTAGCGCACGTGTCTGATAGACCTGATTTTGTTTGGACAATAAACAAATGTGATATTTGCCTTTACACTCACCTCTTCCCTATATCGAAATCAGAACCATTACTATACATGAGTGGGGGAGAATTTAACCTTTTGTATCTAATAGTAATATGTTTTTATCTTACCTTAACATGATTAATGTGAACTTTGACCAGTCTGATAAATTGGCCAGTAATTCTGTGAGATGTTGACATTAACAATTGGTTTACATTAGCTTTCTTAAACCCTCTCTCGAAAGGTCTAATGATCAGCATACAGCTCAACACACTTTTTAAACTCGCATGGTTTTTCGCACAAATTAAAGTAACATTTTTCTTGCAGTAAAACTTAAATTATCGAGCTTCAGTACGAGTCATAAGCATTATATTATTAAATATTTCATGTTAAAGGTGCATAAAATCTAAAATCATAATCTTAAGTTTTAAAACTCGATGTTTTAAATGAACGGATAAAAGACGACAGCATTTAACAAGAAACCATGAAAAAAACTTATTTGGGAAACTGTCATACTATATCATCCAAGAGCATATAAAATCCTACTAATTATTTGTAAATTATTTGTAAATAATGTTCAATGTTATTGATTAAGATCAAAATTAAGTTAAAAATCACTAATTACAAAATATTTCTTGTTGTCACGTTACACAATTTTACATTAAAACAATTAATGTGACTTTAATTTGTGCGAAAAATCATGTGAGTTTAAAAAGTGTGTTGAGATATTTAATGAATCTGGACATGAAACTTTAAAGAGATTATCCGAAAAAATTGCACAAATATTTAAGACAAACATTAATGTTAAGATTTCGTTGTTGATAACATGTAGGTACTGTTGAATTTTTAACATTTAGGGAATTTCCATGGCTTATTATCTAATTATCGCACAATACATGCAATAGAAAATGCTGTAAAATAATACATTACCGATCTTATACGTTACCGAGCGGACTTTGTGGGTTTGATTGACATTATAAAAATTGATTAAAGAAAACAAGTGCAAAAATTAAAACAAGTCAAAGTGGTAACAATAAGTAGATTTTAATGATTGTTTACTATAATATATACTGTAGAAATACTTTTCTCGCGTGGTATTAATTTACGGTATGTACGCGGTTACAATTTTTCCGCGGAAATTTGTCTAAGGGTTCTTAATATAAATGTAATGCAGATAGTGACAGTCTAAGAAATCCGCGTAATTTTTTACCCGTGGATTAAACAGAAATTGAAATTCCGCGGAATTATGACCCCACGTAAAAAAGTACGTCTACAGTATTAGAAATAAAGCAAAACACTTATACTTTCTTGGTCTTTTTATCAAAGCATAATGAGAAGTAATGTACTGACTAAAAGCACTTCTCACATATTACAAAAGTCAATCTCTCAATCTGTACTATTTATAAGTCAATGGTACTGACTACTATATAGTACTTGTTCTAACATATTCTAAATGACAAACTCTCAATCTGTGTATTTATTAGTCGGTAATATTTGTAAAAAAAAATGCACACACTTGCACATAACTAATCCCACAAAGTAATCAAATCATTTTTCTCTTTATAGTTTCATTAATCTGAGATTTATGGGTACACAGATAGGACACTAGGTAAAGTTCGGGGGAATCCAGTAATACGATACGCAAGGTCTTGACCTTCTAGCGGTTCATGAGCTCTATTGGAATGTCATGAATTTTATGCAAGCAGAAGCAGCCATCCTCGCTACTTCCAGGCTTGCATTCTCCAACATTGATGTTGCGAGATGCGAAACAGCAACAAATTTCCGTAAATAACAATGGTCAGTTTATGAATCGTTTATAGAAATGCGATTTTTTATGCTGTATGCACATATTTTTTTTATACGTACTTTTGTCAATTTGATATTTATTTTTCTTTTTTAATTTTTTCATTTCCCCCTCACATATGTAATGTCGAAATAATATAAGGTCTAAAGAGTTACTTGTTGAAGCTTTATAACATGTGCGCTTTATTGAAAGATTCATAGGTTCAGGCCTTTATCATGCACATTTATAAATTCCGTATTTTAGTTTCAGTTTTCCATTTAAAGATTTCTTTTTTTTTCTTTATATAATAATTTCGTTTTTCTTTATTTATATTTGATTTGCACTATTGGGCTTCTGATTAGTCTAACAATGTAATACAGTATTCATACTTCTTAGTTATTCGTGCAAAACAATTATTATTTTAAACCAAATTTTATTCGCGTGAGAAAAATATTCACGAGTTTCGCGACTTACATTTACTCGCGAATATTAATTGCCTCGAACCATTTATTTTTCTTTGAATTTCTAAAAAGTTTCCCCTTTGGTGAAATTTAATCACCGCAGATTTATTCAATATGAGAAATCACAAGTAATAGTTGGTTTACAATAATATTTCTTAACACAATAACGTTTCTTTTTTACTCTGTGTAATACAGTATATCTATATTTAAATTCTTCTTAATAGAGAAATAAGAGAATGGGAACATTTACATAGTTCAATACTTGGCGTTTTGGGACATATGCTGCAGGGAGGCAATTGCAGAAAAAACATGTTTTAACTTTTTTTTATTATGTTTACCTATTGCTGGGATGTTATTAAATATTTTTATGATTGAATCTTTTAAGTGGCGAGTACAGAAATACCAAAAGGATGAAAAATCAGACAGACAAACACAAAAATAACATACGATCGGTTTGCACTACTTCTTCTTCTTCGCTGTGTTCCAAATTTCTGTAAAATATAGATGTATAAATGTGTAGATTAAAAATGACAACATACTTTTATCCAAATTTAAACCAATTCTGAAAAAGGAGGTGGTTAATAACAGGTAGATACTCAGTTTGAGTAGTTTTAAGCGAGAAAATTTATGGAAAGTTGTGGGTTTTGTTGTATATTGCCCTTAATACAAATATATGCGAAAATAACAATTTTCACGAGCAGACAGACTCGCATAATTACTCTTAAATAAAGTTCTCTAGAATATAAAGTGATTTAAGTATCAACAGCGGCGTACACATGATTGTACTCCAGTGTATGTTAAATTTGGAGAGTGTTTTTAAACCAGAGGCCATGAAATTCACAATTTTGAAAAAGGGTCATAATAACTATTCACTTATTAGCATGCCTACTTTGATTTAAGAGGATGAACGATACATGGTAACAGGACTCAATTTAATTACATTATAATCTATGATAATATATACAGTGCTTAAATAATTTTTGGCAGCTTGTTAGAATTCACAATTCTGTATAAAAATATGTAAGCCAATATGGGTGTTACAAAAATTATGTGGGTCCTCTTATTCCTGAGATTTACCTTAATTGATCAACAACATTTGTTTATCTATAAAAATGAATTTATTCAAACAATAACAATAATGATTTATGATTAATTAAATACAAACAGAGTATACTTATGGATAATGGGACAGGATACACAACAGTCAGCTGATTGGGTTCCCAATATCAACAATGGGAGAGTACGTTCAGCTGATTCAGGTTGGGTCAGGATATATAATAGTCAGCTTATTGGTTCCCAATATCAACAATGGGATAGTACGTTCAGCTGATTCAGGTTGGGTTAGGATATATAATAGTCAGCTGATTGGGTTCCCAATATCAACAATGGGAAAGTACGTTCAGCTGATTCAGGGGGGGTTAGGGTATGTAATAATTGGGTAGATTGGGTTACTCAAGATTTGATATTGGGTCAATTTACCCGATATTGGGGCATTGGATTTTACCCAATTATGGGGAGTTGGGATTCTCTAAGCTGGCCAGATGTTTATGAGTCTGACCAACGTCCCAGACTGAAGAAAAAGTCCAAAGTGCCTTCTTTATATACCTTTTCATATTTCGGTGCGAATTAGTTCACGCGCGAATGACTAGCAGTATTGCCAGTATTCGCGGCAGAAGGATAAAACGTACGCTCAACTAGGACCTTAGGTCCCCTGCTCAGTTCACGACTATCGGGCTTGTTTACTCCGCTACAAAATGTAGTGCGTTGAATACGTAAAGTGAAAATAGAAAAATCGTAATACAGTGAAGCCTTGATACAGTGTAAAAAAAACCTAGAAAATTTATTTTTGTCAAAGGAATAACCATCTGATGTGTATTAGAAAAGATAGAGAGGGGGGGTGCTCAGCAACATTTACTGCAATATTATAAGATATATTAACATTTATGGATTATGTTGGGTGACCTGTGGTCTCTCCTATGATTTTTATTATTCCATGTAAGGTTATAGTATCTAAATAACACAGTGCCTTACCTCTGATCTCCTTTACTAATAGTAAGCGACTCAGAGTAAACGACGCCGACGGTCCAGCCGATCAAGTGCTATTAACAAGCTAGGGGAGGATAAAGATGTTGCCCCCTACCACCCCCTACCTCTTCATTTCACTTTTCACCAATCCTTTAATATAATGGAATGATTATTTGTTAATAAATTATCTAATGTCTCCTTTGTCTTCCTTATGAGGTCATGCTTCAATAGGCGACCTCATCACTTTAACACTTTTTAGTAAACCCCTGATTTTATTTATTTTACAAAGAAGATGTACCCCCGTATTGAGAAGTTTAGGGCTGCATGGAGTTCTCCTCCCCTTTCCCTTGAATTAACACATCAAATTTATAAACAAATCAAAACTACATTTCAAAAAAGAAATAAAATTAATAAAAAGAAATTAAAACTTCAATAGGGAGACCAGGGGTCACCTTATATTGTACATCAGTAGGGGGACCAGAAGTTTCCCCTTTTTGTACATCAGTAGGGGGACCAGAGGTCACCTTATAATGTTCATCAGTAGGGGTACCAGAGGACACCTTATATTGTATATAGTAGGGAGACCAGGGTTCACCTTATAGTGTACATCAGTACGGGGACCAGAGAACACCTTATAGTGTACATCAGTCTAGGTAGACCAGGGGTCACCTTATATTGTACATCAGTAGGGGGACCAGAGGACACCTTAAACTGAACATCAGTAGGGGGACCAGAGGACACCTTATAGTGTATATCAGTAGGGACAAAAAGGGTCACCTTATATTGTAGGGGGACCAGAGGTCACCTTATATAGTACATCAGTATGGGGACCAGAGACCACCTTATATTGTAAATAAGTATGGGACATCAGTAGGAGGACCAGAGATCACCTTATATTGTACATCAGTAGGAGGACCAGATATTATCTTATATTGTACATCAGAAGGGGGACCAGGGGTCACCTTAAATTGTACATCAGTAGGGTGACCAGGGGTCATACTTATATTGTACATCACTAGGGGGACCAGAGGACACCTTATAGTGTATATCAGTAGGGAGACAAAGGGTCATCTTCTATTGTACATCAGTCAGGGGACCAGAGGACACCTTATAGTGTACATCAGAAGAGAGACCAAGGATCACCTTATATTGTACATCAGTACGACCAGACGTCACCTTGTATAGTACATCAGTACGGGGACAGAGAGGACACCTTATATTGTGCATCAGTCAGGGACCAGAGGACACTTTATAGTGTACATCAGTAGGGAGACCTGAGGTCACCTTATATTGTATATCAGTAGGCGTACACCAGGGGTCACCTTATATTGAACATCAGTAGGGGGACCAGAGGTCACTTATATTGTACATCAGAAGGGTGACTAGGGGCCATCTTATATTGTATATCAGTCAGGGGACCAGAGGTCAAACTATATTGTACATCAGTACGGGGAACCAGAGGTCACTTATATTGTACATCAGTACGAGGACCAGAGGACACCTCATATTGTACATCAGTAGAGGGACCAGAGGTCACCTTATATTGTACATCAGTCAGGGGACCAAAGGACACTTTATAGTGTCATCAGTAGGGAGACCAGAGGTCACCATATATTTTACATCAGTAGGCGGACCAGGGGTCACCTTTATATTGCACATCAGTAGGTTGATCAGGGGTCATCTTATATTGTATATCAGTCATGGGACCAGAGGTCACCCTATATTGTACATCAGTAGGGGGACCAGAGGTAACTTATATTGTACATCAGTCATGGTACCAGAGAACACCTTATAGTGTACATCAGTAGAGAGACCAAGGCTCACCTTATATTGTACATCAGTACGGGGACCAGAAGACACATTATATTGTACATCAGTAGATGGACCAGAGATCACCTTATATTGTACATCAGTAAGGGGACCAGAGGACACTTTATAGTGTACATCAATAGGGAGACCAGAGGTCACCATATATTGTACATCAGTAGGGTGACCAGAGGTCACCTTATCTTGTATATCAGTCAGGGGACCAGGGGACACCTTATAGTGTATATTAGTAGGGGGACCAGCGGTCACCTTATATTGTGCATCAGTAGGGGGACCAGATGTCACCCTTATATTGTACATCAGAAGAAGGACCAGAGGTCACCATATATATATATATATATATATATATATATATATATATATATATATATATATATATATATATATATATATATATATATATATATATATATAAAGCACTAAAAAACCAACAACACTGTATATCCTAAGTGTCGGATCTACCAAGTAGATACAAGGTCACGGATGGAAATTTATATAAGGCACTAAAAATGACCAACGACACGAACAATAAAAATTGTCAAATTTTCGGGACGCCCTGTTCCTTCCTCAGGACAAAGAAAAAAGTTAAAAAGTCATAAGAACAAAGGAAAAAGAGAAACAAAAACAACTAGCACTACTACTAAACTACTAAACACTAGATTATTTACATACTTAATTACATGTTGAATTGGAAATTTTTAATAACACTAATAAAGAAATCCGGACCGCTATGAAATGCGGCCGGTCTATCGGGTATACTCGGTTCTTATGACTTTTTAACTTTTTTCTTTGTCCTGAGGAAGGGACAGGCGTCCCAAAATTTGACAATTTTTATTGTTCGTGTCGTTGGTCATTTTTAGTGCTATATATATATATATATATATATATATATATATATATATATATATATATATATATATATATATATACATCAGTCAGAGTACCAGAGGACACCTTATATTGTACATCAGTAGATGACCAGAGGACACCTTATAGTGTACATCAGTAGAGAGACCAAGGGTCACCTTATATTGTACATCAGCAGAGGACACCTTATACTGTATATCAGTAGAGGGACCAGAGATCACCTTATATTGTACATCAGTCAGGGGACCAGAGATCACCTTATATTGTACATCAGTCAGGGCCCAGAGGACACTTTATAGTGTACATCAATAGGGAGACCAGAGGTCACCATATATTGTACATCATTAGGGTGACCAGGGATCACCTTATATTGTACATCAGTACATGATCAGAGGACACGTTATAGTGTACATCAGTAGAGACACCAACGGTCACCTTATATTGTACATCAGTACGGGTCCAGAGGACACCTTATAGTGTACATCATTAGGGGGACCAGGGGTCACCTTATATTGTACATCGGTCAGGGAACCAGAGGTCACCATATATTGTACATCAGTAGGCGGACCAGGGGTCACCTTACATTGTACATCAGTAGGTGGGCCAGAGGTAACCTTATATTGTACATCAGTACGGGGACCAGAGGTAACCTTATTTTGTACATCAGTAGGGTGACCAGGGGTCATGTTATATTGTATATCAGTCAAGGGACCAGAGGACACCTTTTAGTATACATCATTAGGGGGAACAGGGGTCACCTTATATTATACAT